TGATCCCGTTACCGGTCAGTAAAAAAGACAAAAAAGGAAAATAAATAAATAAATAAATAAACCTTCCATGATATTTTTGTGTATGTACCTCCATAATCTTGGGATGGAGTTGTTTCATTCGTAAAGATTTTTTTTTTTCTTTACAATTCTTCTTTGCCTACTTCCACCCCCTACCTCTCAGAGGTACTTGCCTCTCTCACCTACCATCTGGAACAAAGTCATCTATACACCTTAATATGTTTATGATTTTGAATCCTGAAAACATAGGTAGCTATCTTCTAGAAACTTCTGCATTGAGCCATCAAAACATGGCTCCCTGAGCCACACAGGGGGTAAAAAAAAAAAGAGCAACTTCTGATAAAGGAGAATAGGAAGACATATTCAAGAATACACACATGAACACAGGCACACACACTCACAATTTAATTTCTTAATAAATTATGTCTTCACTTTGTTAGAAACAGCTTGATCTTCTTCATAGCACTCATGGTGCTCCAGTTTGCACTGAGGAGCAAACTTACCATGTCGGTGTGTCTCCAAAATCCTGTAAAGAGAAAAAGAAAATCTTAGACTTCTGCAGAAATTGGCTATTCTGCTTACCCAGACTTTGGGTTTAGGAAAGTTCAGAAAGCTAACAACTACCATGACCACAACCCTCCTCACAAATTCGTTTTCATATCTAAGGATAATCCCAGAAAAACATACTGACAAAAATCTAGATTCTTGATGAATTCACAATCTTGAGGGTGAATGAAGAGACAAAAGGACATTAATGACTGTGCATTGCTACAAACTACCAGCTGTCTGCAAAGTGGCCTATCCCAGGGCTTGTCCCCAATATATATAATATGTGTCAAATTGAGAGCATTTCAAAACTACGACTTCCATACAGAAAGAGGAAATAAATATTAGCTTGTTTCGAATTTCTACACATTACTCAATGAAGACAAGAATTAAATTTCCATGAGTAAGTTGCTCCTTGTTGGTTTTCAGACAAGTGAGCTGGATAAGGGGGTAGTCTAGAAGGGAATATTCCCTGGGGAATCCACTTTCACAGTTCTGGAAAGCTTGGTGTTGATGGTTAGGTTAGGAGGTACAGTCTATCTCTGTTATTCCCAAGTGGGAAAAATCCTCACCATAGACTCAGGAGATGAAGTAATATATCCTTAGTAGCAAATAACAATTTGAGGGCAAAGATGTGAACATCAACTAATATAAAATACTTCAAAACGCATCCTTAGTCCTTACTTGTAGCAGCTCTACACTTGGTTTATGGCACACTTCCATCAGTTCCTCTTATACTTCTAGTTGGCACCTGGTTTATGGCACACTTCCATCAGTTCCTCTTATACTTCTAGTTGTTTCCTCTTATGCTCCACTTTGAATTCACTTTCCCAGTATTTATCAAAAATCACTTGACGGTCACTCTTCAGTCTCTCTAAATGTTCTTCTACAGAAATCTCTGCCTGAAATACCCCTGGAATTGATTTTGAACCTATCTGAGAAACATTTCCTGAAACCTGAGCAATCATTACACTGAAAATTTGGGTTGCTTTTCCTGTTAATACACATAGCACAGAATCTAATGGCACATGAGGATCTCAGCTCAAGTTCCCAATGGAAATGTTTCTAGCATATCTGTCTCAAGCTGGTTCTAAGGTAACATGGTCTCATACTTAGAAGAAAATGGTGCATTTTTATGCTCCCTTTATTTAGATTATCCTGATATTGTTCAATCTTTCTCCATAAAATCCTTACTTGCTTTAAGACTTTCTCCTGCAAAAATGATACAATAAAAAAAGAAAACTATAGGCCAATGTTTCTGATGAACTTCGATGTAAAAATCCTCAATAAAATAGTAGCAAACAGAACACAGCAAGACATCAAAAAACTTATGCACCACGTTCAAGTGTTATCTATCCTAGGGATACAAGGACAGCTCAACATAAATAAGGACAGGAAAGTCAATAAATGTGATACAACACATCAACAAAATCAAGAACAAAAACCATATGATTGTCCCAATATATGCAGAAAAAGCATTTGACAAAATTCAACATCGCTTCATGATAAAGACTTTTAGCAAATTAGATATAGAAGGAAAGTATCTCAACACAATGACAGGCATATATGACAAACCCACCACCAACAACATCACCAATGCTTTCAGCTTTTCCCTTAAGAACAGGAACAACACAAGGATGCCCACTCTTACCACCCCTATTTAATATAGTATTGGCGTACAAGCCACAGCAATCAGGTAAGAGAAAAGGCATCCACATTGGAAAAGATGAAGTCAAATTGTCTCTGTTTGCAAAAGACATGATCCTGCATGTAGAAAAACCTAAAGACTACAAAAAAATCTCTTATAGCTGGTAAATGAAATCACTAAAGTTGCAAGATACAAAATCAATATATACAAATCAATAGCATTTGTATATTCCAACAATGAACTAGCAGAAAAAAATCAAGAAAGCAAGTCCATTTAAAATGGTCAGCAAAAAAGAAAAAAAAAAAAACCCCTAGGAATCAATTTATCTGAAGAGGTGAAAGATCTCTACAAAGAGAATTAAAAATCACTGCTGAAAGAAATTAAAGAGGATACAAAAATAGAGAAAGACATTTCATGCTCTTGGATTGGAAGAATTAGCATTATGAAAATGTCCATATTACCCATAGCAATCTACAGATTCAATGAAATCCCCATCAAAATACCAATGACATTCTTCACAGAAATAGAAAGAACAATCCTAACATTCATATGGAACAACAAAAGACCCAGAATAGCCAAAGCAATCATGAGCAAAAAAAAAGCTGAAGGCATTACACTACCTGGCTTCAAATAATTCTACAAAGCTGTAGTAATGAAAACAGCATGGTACTGGTATAAAAACAGACATTGGAGCCAATTGAACAGAATAGAGAACCCAGAAATCAACCCACATATTTACAGCCAACTGATCTTCAACAAAGTCACCAAGAATATACCTTGGGGAAAAGACTACCTCTTTAATAAACGGTGCTGGGAAAACTAGATATCCATGTGCAGAAGAATGAAACTCAACCTGTACCTCTCACCATATACCCAAATCAACTCAAAATGGATTAAAGATTTAAATACAAGACCTGAAAGTATAAAACTCCTAAAAGAAAACATAGTTGACACGGGAGGAAGTAGGACTGGACAAATACATTATAAGACCTCAAAAGCATAGGCAATAAAAGAAAAAATAAACAAATGGGATTATATGAAAATAAAAAGCTTCTGCATAGAAAGAAACAATTACCAGAATGAAAAGACAACTAGCAGAATGGGAGAAAATATTTGCAAACTATGCATCTGACAAGAGATTAATATACAAAATATACAACAAACTCAAACAAGTTAACAGTGAAAAAAACAAGTAACCAAATTAAAAAATGAGGAAAGCAACTGAATAGGTATTTCTCGAAAGAAGATATACAAATGGCCAATAAATACATGAAGAAATGCTCAACATCACTAAGCATCAGGGAAATGCAAATCAAAATCATAATGAGATGTCGCCTCACCCCAGTTTGACTGGCCAGTATCAAAAGAACAAAAAATAACAAATGCTGGCAAGGATGTGGAGAAAGAGAACCCTCCTACACTGTTGCTGGGACTGTAAACTGGTGCACCCATTATGGAAAACAGTGTGGAGGTTCCTCAGACAACCACAGATAGATCTACCACATAATTCAGCAATCCCCCTGCTGGTGATATACCCAAAGGAATGGAATTCATCATGTTGAAGGGATACCTGCACTCCCATGTTTATCATAGCTCTATTTACAATAGCCAAGAGTTGGAACAAACTTAAATGTCCATCGTCAGATGACTGGTGGTATATGCACATAAAGGAATACTACTATGTCATAAAAAAAGACAGATTCTGCCATTCCCAGCAACATGAATAAATTCAGAGCAAATTACGTTAAGTGAAATAAGCCAGGCACAAAGTACTGCATGTCCTTACTCATAGTGGGAGCTAAAAAATAAACAAATACATTTTTAAAAGAAAGAAAGATATAACAGTCACAAAAATTTGTTGAACTTTCAAAAGAAGAGAATAGAACCAAAGCCACCTGAGGTGGGAAAAGGAGAGGAAGGGTTAGGGAGAAATTTTTAAAGGCAAAAAGAAAAATGATTACATTGTATAATGTTGAGTGTACTAATTATCTTGATTTGAGCATCACATATAACACACAGGTATTGACATTCAACATTTGATATTGATATTCATTGTATCCCACAGACACATACAATCAATTATGTTTGTTTCAATAAAAAAAACAGAAAAAGAAACAGACAGGTGTTTGTCTGACACTCTCAAATATAACTCATTTCAGGCTTTTTAAAGTGTCTAGGAATCAGACCATTTGAAGTTGAATTCTCTTTGATACTAGACATCATGTTTTAGAACAGTGCTTTTTAATTTTTGTGCACATGCAAATCATCTGGTTATCTTGATAAAAAGCAGATTCAGAATCAATAGATCTGTAGTGGGGCCAGGGAATCTGCATTTATAACAAGATCCCAGAAGATGCACTTGGTTGTGAATCACACTTTAAGTAAGGATTTACTGCACTGACTTTGAAATCATATGTCCTGACTTTGAATTCTAGTCTTTCCACTTATGAGATATGTGCTTTTAGTAATGATTAATTTCACTCAATGTGCATATTGAACCTTGAGATATTAGGTATTGAAGTCACTACTAACAACGGTTAAAACATTTTAAATTAGCACTGAACACATGAAGACCAATCTCCAACAATTAATGGGTGGAATTTTATTTTATTTTATTTTATTTTTCCTTTTTTTTTGTCTTTTTTCGTGTCTGGCAAAGGATCGCAACCCTCAGTGTCGCACCCGTACCAGACCGGGACCGGCAACGGGATCGCAGCCCTCAGTGTTGCACCCGCACCTCGCTCAGCCAGTGAGCGGGAACCGGTCTGTATGTGGGATCCGAACCCTCGGCGGGAGTGCCACTGCGCTCCCAAGCGGCGCACTGTAGCAGTGCACCACCGGGCCGGCCCAATGGGTGGAATTTTAAAATATCATGATATAAATAGAGCTGCAATGAACCTGGGAATGTAGGTATCCCTTCAACATTATGATTTCCATTCCTTTGGGTATACCCAGTAGTGGGATTGCTGGATCATACGGTTGCTCCATCTGTAGTTGTGTGCTCTATCTGCAGTATGGTTGCTCCATACTGTTTTCCATAGTGGCTGTACTAATTAACAGTTTCACCAACAGTGTAGAAGAGTTCCCCTTTCCCTGCATCCTCGCCAGCATTTGTTATTCTCGGTCTTTTTAATATAAATGGGGGTGAGATGATATCTCAATGTGGTCTGATTTGCATTTTTCTGATGACTAGTGATGCTGAACACTTTTTTGTGTACCTGTTGGCCATTTATGTCATCCTTTGAAAAGTGTCTATTCATCTCCTTTGCCCATTTTTAATTGGATTATTTGATTTTTACTATATAGTTGAGTTCTTTGTATATTATGGATATTAATCCCTTGTCAGATGTATAGTTTGCAAATATTTTCTCCCATTTCTTAGGCTGTCTTTCCATTCTAAGTGTTTATCGACAAATGACTAGATAAAGAAAATGTGGTATGTACTACTCATCCATAAAAAAGAATGAAATTCTGCCATTGGCAGCAATATGGATGAGTCTGGAGAAAATTATGTTAAGCCAAATAAGCAAAGTAGGAAAGAGAAATACCACATGTTCTCACTTATAACTGAGTGCTAAGGGTGGGGGGGGGTGAGGGAGAGAGAGAGAAAGAAAAGAAAGGAAGAAAGGAAGGACAGAGAGAGAGAGAGAGAAGAAAAAAGAAAGAAAGAAAGAAAGAAAGAAAGAAAGAAAGAAAGAAAGAAAGAAAGAA